ACAAGACTAACTGAGTCTTTACAAAAGATTTGTAATGAACTTGCGTATTATTTATCAACAAGTGATAGGGTATTTCAAAGGAATTTTATAAAACATTTGATTACAAATGTTATTTATTGATGTGATATTCAAAATGAATACAACAAAATAAATACAAGAAATGGTTGCGACTGTAGTTCAATAAAAAAACGTCAATTTGGACTTATGCCAATGATTGAAAAACATTTTCTTTGAACGCATAGTAGGTAATTTATGCCAATAACTGATTTTACCTATTCTTATACGACTATGACATATCGATAAATAAAATATATGATTAAAAACGTAGAAAGAAATGTATAAATCTATAAGCACCCCTGATGAAATAGTTATCATCTCGTACTTAATGACTAGAGAAACAACAATATGAAACACATGACTTTTACCAGTTTTGCGAATGTTATGACTATTTCCACTTTTACGAATATATTTTAATCTTTGTAATATCCACTGATCGTGTTGAACGATAAATTATTAAATCTTTATAAATCTTTATGTAGTTTTAAACGACCCATAAGCTTACAACCAAATATATACAAATTGTTTGCTTCGTGCCTTGAGGATCGCTTAGCAAAGTTCACAGAGAAATTTCAACCTCCAGAACAAGCTGGCTTCAGGAAAAACTTCTCCACAACAGATCACATTCACACTTTAAATCTGATTATGGAGAAATACATAGAACACATTAGACCACTCTACCTGGCTTTCATCGATTACGCCAAAGCCTTCGACTCTATATCCCATAACAGTATGTGGAAGGCTCTACATGAGTGTGAAGTACCATCAGAGACTATCGATCTGATAAAAGACATCTATCAGAAAAGCATAAGCCGTGTAAAGTTAGAAAGTCAGGGCCCTGAGATAAGCATTTGTAGAGGCGTCAGACAGGGTGATCCCCTGTCACCAAGTATCTTTATAGCTATGCTACAAAGTGTCATCAGAACTCTTAATTGGGAAAAGAAAGGAATTAATATAAATGGAAAACTCCTCAGTAATCTTCGATTTGCAGACGACATCATACTTTTTCTGAATCACCATCTGAACTACAGACAATGATTAATGAACTAACTGAGGTAAGCAGTGCAATAGGCCTATAACTAAATACTACCAAGACTAAAATCATGACTAACCACCATGCCAAACCAATAAAAGTTAATAACACTACACTAGAATATGTTCAGAGTTACGTTTACTTGGGACAACAGGTATCTTTCTCTACAAAAAGACATGAAGATGAAAACAATAGGCGAGTGAAAATGGCGTGGAATAAATTTTGGAGCAATAAAGAAACCTTAAAATCAAAACTCCCTATAAAACTAAAGAAAAAAGTTATGGACTCATGTTTACTACCCAGTCTTGCGTATGGCTGCCAAACATGGATATATAATAACTAATAACTACACGAAAAACAAAATACAAGTATGCGAGCGATGGAAAGGAGTATACTAAATATACAAAGAAAACACAGGAAAAAAACACAGAAATAAGAGAAACAACTAAAGTAATAGATGCTTTATCACACTCACAAAAACAAAAATGGAAATGGGCAGGGCATATTGCACGCATAGATAAAGAAAAATGGACATACAGAGTCACCACTTGGCGAGGACCACTAAGCAAAAGGAAAAGGGGCAGACCAAAAGAAAAATGGATAGACGAGATAATAAGAAAAGCAGGTGACAACTGGATCACAAAGGCAAAGGACAGACAGACGTGGAAAAAAATGGAGGAGGCCTTTACCCGTTGAGGGGCCCTTAATGTAATAATTTTAAATTATAATAATTGTAATTTCAATAAATTTTTTTGCTAATTAACTAATTAATTGTGAATAATAATAAATGAATAACAATTGAAAAATAATACTGTAGAAAAATCGAAATGCTATCTATAATGCGATAACATTGTTATTTATGTAATTAAATTAATTGTAAATTCATATCATGCATGCATACAATAATTTTGTGTTATATTATGTAACTCATTATGGGATTAAATGAGGCTATATTATTATTATATTATGTAGTTTTAAAAACATACTAGTGAAAATGACCACTTGCTGTAGTTGAACTCGTAAAAGTCAACTTAGTTGACGAGGTTTCATGTAAACGTTTACATAAGATGTCAAACTGTCACTATTTGAGAAAATAAGTGACTTACAAATTCAGTGCAGGTTATTTCATTGGTATTGTTTGATTAATTTTAAGTAAATCATTTACAATGGATGACTTTGATATGTATCTAACCGTATTTTAGCCAAAGCCAAAGCTCTACTACTGCAATGCGATTAAAGTATAAGTAGTAGCAATGACCGATTGCGATCAAACTAATGTTAGAACCGCAAAGAACTAATGTTTGTACAGTCAACAGCACGTCAGATTAAATTAATCTGTCAAACTGCGGGAATTTAACATTTTATGGCAACCAGACGTGCAGCCGTAACATTATTTAAACATATGTTCATTAATAATTTTTTTGTCGTGTAATCTTCGATCAACACATCTTCGAAGCGTCTAATTTAAAAAAATACTACAACAAGTTCTTTTATTTGATGTGACATAATATCGTTATAGAAATTCTTAAATGGTCGCGACCTTCCAAGTCCGTTAAAGGTCACAAAATTTTATATGGGTGCCAAAATTTTAACTCTGTCCCGTAGTTTTAGAGAAAGCAAGCTATGTGTGACAGACAGATGAAAAGACAGTAAAGTTCTAAAATAAGATTTAATAATAAAATAGGTTTGCAATTTTTCCCTCGCGTGTCACCAACCGTGGTATGAAAATCACGAGCCACGGTCATTATACTCGACGAAGTAATGGAAATGAAACTATATTGAACAACTTACTTCACTTGTATCATAATAATAGTGATTATTATAGAAGTTTGACACCAATAATTAGGTGAATTAAAGTCAGATTGTACCTGGTTTTTCAAGTAGATAAGATTATGACGTACCTATTCAAATTAACCAGACGTATACTAGCTACATTCATGGGCCCACTCTTTAAGACAAAACTTTTATATCATAATGTTATTACGGGTATTATTAAAAATAGATTGTCTAAGTTATCTCGTACCCATAAAAGAACAATTAATTAAGAATCTTAGGGTTTAATAATTTAACCGCATTGTTAGAGATTTGGGTCAGGTCATAGCGTTTGTTCTACTTTTATGCAAACCATTATTAAGGGCACTTTATTATGGAAATAATATGTAATACTAGCTTTCCGCTAGCAGCTTCGCTCGCGTGGTTCCTGGTGAACTGATTTGTGTAATAAAGTAGCCCATATGTTAATCCAGGCTTAGAATTTAATATATGAATTCATTTGGATACGATTTCATATCAAGACATAGATATAATTACAATGACAAATTGAATAGTAAACAATGGTTACTATGGGAAAGTTTTAATTTCCTGTACACTCCCATTTCATCCCTTTATATTCACCGCATATGATATAACTTCGAATAGATGAAAGAATTTTCGGTTCAACAGTTTCAGAGCCTATTAGAGTCAAACAAAAAAACAGAACGAATCTTTCTTCTTTGTAATAATAGTAAAGATATAAATATAATTTTGATCACTCTCTTGCACGGTGATTGCAAGAACTAACCAAATCCAAAGGTTTGATTCGATTTAAGAAAAAAAACTGCTTCATATAGTCTAAAGTCATGGTGTTGATGATACTTTCATTATGTCTAATTGCCATAACACAACAGCTTTACCTACTGACATGGAAGCAATGTTAATGATAGAATTAGAGGAGCTCGATGGCGCAGTGGTTAGCTCGCCCGATCTGCGATACGGTTGCTAAGCAACTTTCATAATGGCCGGTAGTCGGATAGGTGACCAAAAATTTATTATCTCGAGCTTTTCCTTGCTTCAGAAGGAAGGGTAGTGAGTAACGGCCCACTCTCTCTTTTCAATTCCATCCATTGGGAAGGCCTGAGCCTCAGTAGTGGGGTCATTAATAGACCGGTGGTGGATGTTAAAATATCCAACTTTCAACTTTATTGCATTCATGTAATTTACCTACACGTAGAATTTTTTCTTTGTGAAACATTGCACTATTCAGTCAATGCGCACATTTTGTTTTTCATATTTTAAATAAATAAAAAATAAATCACCTTAATATTTACTTAAGAAAAGAAAACAAAATCTTCCGAGAACCAGACGAATTCCCATCTGGTACTTGCCACTAATTTCTCAACTAAAGTAATTGAAATAATAGTTCTTCTGGGTCATATAATACACAGCTTAAATAAAAAAAAGGTACAAGGATGTATAATTTTTGTTCATCTTCAGTTCAGTTTGTCTATTTATTACCCTAACGTCAAATTAATTGCGAGCGAGACACGACAACGACAACTCACTACAATGTCCCTGTATTTTTTCATTGAAATATTAGTATTTTAAATTTATGATTTACACAACGAGCCCTTTTTTTCATTATAAAAACTTCAAAGTCGCCAAATATTTTATGATTTTCATTATTACTTTTAAGTTGCTTTATACTACTATACTAGCACCAAATTTAAACTAAACCAATTAATAATTTTGAAACAAATTTGTTTTTTTTTTTTGAGGCACCTCAAAACATTCACTCGAATCAAAAAGTTTCCTGAAACCTATCCCAAGTTTTTTAGGTATTAGATTAATTTACATTATAAAATTGTTATCAAATATATATCTTCTGTATATAAAAGTTATAAGCACAGGTTTTAAGATTATATAATTGTTGATTCCTTAACTATTTAAAAAAGTAGTAGTATCAAGATGTTTATTATAATAAAAGCTACTTTACAACAACCAATTAGATTTTGTTCATTTATCTTTTGATTAAAATTTGTCTCGTTAGGTATAAACAAAAATATATAACAATTATAGATAGTATAACTACAATAATAATAAAATAGTATGTGTTGACAAATGCATATCGGCAGCCGCGCGACAAGCCAACCGCAGTTGACGTTGCGTCCGCGACAACGTAGCACGCGCGTTGATCCTATTATAATACCAGTAATGTCGCAACGAAGTTTAACCTAACGTGATAAAAATTGTGCTTAAATAAAACAAACAACAGACCCCAAGTAAGTATCATTAAATAAAAGTATACCAAAAAGTTTCACCAGCAAAACAAAGTTGGCATATTTTATTTAAGTAAATAAATATTTGTAAAATGGAACGTCAAGTTTACAGGAATCGATAAGATTGTTTATTGAACAACAATGCCGGCCGAAAATAAACTCTGCTAATTAATTGTGTTGTCTGGTTATTACAATAGGTATCAATGGGAATTTGTGCAATATTTTTGATAAGCGAGAGTACTATTTGGATGTAAGCCAGGTATAAAAATACAATGCCTATGACTGTCCCGGTATGTCTGCCTGGGAGCCGCCCGGGTCACGATCACTGATTATTTTTTGATAATTGCATTCTTGTCTGAGATAACTACATTATTTATTTAGTTCTTATATGAAAATACATGCCAAAATGTAATGTTAAAAAATAATCTTTCTTATTGGCTACTTTATGTGAACCACAATTCTGCCAATTTCACTGACCACCCCATGGTATAATAAATGATTACCTACACCCAAGTTTGAATAATCGATCTCTTTCTATTTGAATTTACTTCTAATGCCTGCTAAATCATTTATAAACATAAAAGTTGAGAGCAGTAAAAAACTTCCAACTAAACATTAGTCACAAAATATGCAGTTAAAAACTTCTTTTGCTGTAACGCATTTTTACTATGGAATCTTTTCGAAACGTATTTATATACTTTTAGTTAGGACGAATACTGTGATAAAATTAGATTGATTGTTTCGGATACGGATGCAATGTATTATTTTTGTTTTAGTGTGTATTTGATAGCGTGATACTTTTCTCTGGGATTTTTTTTCTGCTTTGGTATGCTGACAATATACAGTGGTGAATGCAGCGTCAAGCACAGCACTGTCGCAACATTAGAAGTAACTAAAACTCTTTATAACTTTTTCTTTCATTGAACCTCTATTTCTGAAGCAAAACTATAATGTAAATGTATACTATCTTCGATACTATATCATTAACACTAAAAAAGCTATTCTTAATGAAAAATGCTTAATAATCAACTTTCGCCCTGACACTCTGATATGCGACTCAAGCCCATATCCTTTCGCAATCCAGGAGACTGCTCTAACCACTGAACTACCCTATCTTACGGGATTGTTGAATTTTTCAAGCACTTGTTACTTTTACGCTACTACAGAGCGTACTTTCATCAATGTTTAGGTTAGAGCAGTCGCCCGCTTTGCGAGAGGTCATGGGTTCGAGTCCCATCTCAGAGTGCCAGGACATAGTGGATAAGCATTTTTAATTAAGACTATGTTTCAGTATAGCATTGTGAATGCAAAATTGATCAAATATAATACTCAATAAGCTTTCCACTTTACGAACTTTGTGCCTATTTCAACAGCTCTACGAATTAGGTAGAATGTCATTTGTTTTGAGTTGGGATTGCAATCCGGATTCTTTGAAATTCGAAAATAACTGAAACATCCGGCTATACAGAACTTTTTAAAATCCGGTTTTAAATAACTCGAATTCGGTCTTTTCGGATTTCAGTTAAATTTAAATAAAAGTTAATAAAGCGAGCTGCGTGTTCTCACGCCGACACGCGAGCATATCTCGCTACTCCATTTCAGACACACTTTATAAAAATTCTGATTATTCACCACTTAGTTTTAAAGAAAAGCTCAATCGTCAACTTTCTCTTTTTTGAAATTTTTGGCCGAGAGCTCTATAATTGCCGTTGGCAGACTTAACTTTTTTGTTAAAGTTTATTATTTTTTTTATATTGATTTATTTTACTCAGACAAAACTATTGTTGGATAAGGGCTCGAGTGTATATAATATGTAAAACTCGATATTGAAAAAGAAAAACATTTTTGAACTCTTAAAAATTATGTGGATGTAGCTTCCATCCGATTTCGACCATGGCGACCTCTTTGACTCCTAGTACGGTTGGTGCTGATGCTCTCTGAGATGGTTGACATAGCCCATCAATTTAAGAACGCCCGCGACCAAAAAGACCACTTAAGTACTTCGTCTGTGTAGTGGTAGTGAATGGCAGTAGCTGGCCGGGCTTTCGAGACAGCAGGATCACCGTAAAATAGACGCTTAAGAAATGTGGTGCTGGAGAAGTCTTTTTAACTCTAATATGAATACAAATATGTAGAGATTTTTCTAAGTTGGATTTCGGGCCTTGTAGGGCAATGGTTAGAGTAGCCGCCCGAATTGCGAAATATTGTAAATTCGAGTTACTCCTCGACGCACCCGGGGCTGGTGGATTTTATAAACATTTTTCACCCGAATTTTTATGAAATTTGTTGATTTTTCTATTGCATGAAAATTTTAATATAATTAACGATATTTCAATTTCGGTTTCATCAAAACACCTTAACTAACAAAAAAAATTAGAAAGATTTTAGTCGGATAAAGATATAGAAAACCGAATTAAAAAAATAACTTTTATTTTGCAATCCCTAGATTTGAGCACCGATAAATATTATTTTTCAATATATCTTAGTTGTCTTTGAATAAAATTGAATAGTTTTATGTTTTTAAAAACAATTATTTAAAATTTCACCATAACAGTTACAAAAATAAGAAACCAACCAAATATCATCTTTTTAGGTTTCCTTTGTAGAAATGAATAATGATAAACGTCTGTCTTCCTTTATAGCGGATAAGATAAAAAGCTGATCAAAGGTCAAACGTTAACTTAACATACCGAGCTTGAGATAAATAAAAAGTTATGATGTTTTACTTATTATACGATAACATTCTTATCCTACATATAATACAGTTTGGGTTGATGAAGATGAGGTAATAATATACTTTCTCTTAAAAAACATAGTATAAAACAAAGTTGCTTCTAGCTGTCTATACGCGGAGATTATTTAAATTACAGAACAGATTTTGATACGATTTTCAGTAATATACAAGACGAAGGTATATATATATAAAACAGGATCAAACGATCGAAACCGCTGGCGGAAAGCTAGTAAGTACGTAATATTATATGATATACATTTTATAGAAAAATACTTAGCATTTACATAATAACAATTTTTAATTATAACAAATTACGCCTTAAAATTGGAAGGAGCTAAAAAAATGTTGGTCGCCCATCCTATAACCGGCTCTTACGAAAGCAGCTTGACCTTCGCATCGCAAACCAAACACTACGCCATCGAGGTCCTTAACTAGTGTCTAATCTTTTTTATTCCTTGCTGAGCTCAACGTGGTCCAAGACGATTCAAATAATTCCTTTATAAAAACTATACCTATAAAACGTATGGCATGCAATCGAAATATTGAGTATAAGGTGTGCTGATTACCTTTTTATTACCTTTCAAATTAAAAGCTGAAACGATAGAAAAAACAATCACGAGCGAATCGTACCAGCACATAGATTCTGCACAAATAAAATCACAGATTCCTATAACCCGTAGATAAAGAACTTGTAAGTCAAATAATAAATGTAATAGAATCAGGCATTATTTTGCGGAAGTTTTTCCTATAACCGTGAAACTAGAATATCTAGCAACTTCCACACTCAGTATCCGCTAGACCTGCTTTGTTCCACCCGCACACAAATTCACATGTACAAAAGACAGCAAATTTTGCAAAATCACCACTCTACACGTGTTTCGCCCCTCCACGGAGCATCATCATCATCAGCCCTTTTACGTCCCCACTACAGAGGCTCAGGCCTTCCTTATGGATGGTTAAGGAGAATGGGCCATGACCCTCCACGCTGGCCCCATGCGGATTGGAGGGTATTAACGACTGTAAATGCAGCCGGTACCAATGGCTTAACGTGCCTTCCGAAGCACGGAGTTGCTCGAGATAATAGTTTTTTGGTCACTCATCCCGTGACCGACCCTTGCGAAGTTGCTTAACGACAACGATCGCGGGCCGCGGCGCTAATCCACTGCCCCACTCCTAGCTAGCTACGGAGCATATAAATAAATAAATAAAAAATAAATAAATTCTCGGGAGTTGTCAAAACTTTTCGCCCAGTACTTTTGGTTATAATGTAGAGAAAGGTAGCCGTTCATCTTTTTCATAAATTACTACAAAATATTTAAAATTAATAAGATATATATTTGAATCTATTACAACAAATAATCTATCTATAGTTCTCAAAATCTTTTTTCCTAATTGTCGCCCATCTTTAAAACTCAGTTATTTACATGACACACTTTAAAATTGATGATATCATGAACTTTTGGAATTAGTTCAAAACATAATTAAAAAACAATCTTGCTAAGAAGCTTATGTCAATTTTGACAATAAATATGTGTTGAACGCTCAGATGAAAATGGTTGAGCGTCGACTGGGCCAAGGACAACAATTAGTGTTTAAATTGTCACATGGTCCGCCAGCGACATTTTATTTATGCAACTTCCCACTCAGACAACAGGAATGATGCTACATTCCTAGACAATTTCGTAATTTACATACACCAGACGGTAGATTGCGAGATAAAAGAGAAAAAAGGACAAATACATGTTGCGCTGACACTCATATCTTCTTCCTGTAGGAAGCGGACTCCGAAATGCTTGGTACGTGTAATAAAAGTTTTATTCAAATATGTAGGTACATATTTGTAAATGGAATGTGGACTTTGCACGAATCGATGTGATTGTTTACGAGTAATAATAACGTTTGAAAATAAGAATAGATCAAGTTTGTCAATGGAAATTTGTGGAATATGTTGTTTTTTAGATATTACAAGAACATTCAAATAATAAAATATTATCATAATTTGTACAAATAATGTTTTTCAAAAAAAAAATCCTGAGTAACGTAGGTAAGAAGCAATATCAACATTCGATACACCGATATAATTCGTTTTCGACTTTTTGAAATATACAATAAATAAGAGTACATCAATAAAATTAACATTGTCTTATTATGGGGTATTGCCACTAAAGGTCGACGTCCACTATATATGTACGCATGCAACGGACATACGGTATGCAGGTGACACACGGTACGCAACTGCCTAAAAATAAAAGTTTTATGAATTGTTCAT